GCTCTCTTGAAAATGGAGTCGTGGTTTTGAGCAGGCTGCGTTCCTCCGTTTCATGCATCGGCGCATCAGGGAAGCACCTGGAGGCGACTGCGTTCGCCCGTCTTCAGCAGCCGTGCAGCCACCAAGCTCTGTTTGGGCACGACAGCAGGTTTGATGCCGCCACCACCTCTCCCCCTCAGAGAGGGGCTGCTCGGGACCCAGCATCGCTGCGGCTGGGCGCCCAGCACTGCGGTCTCTGCTGGGACCAGGATTTTCTCTTTCATTCTCCTACCTCTCCCCAGACTCCTCTCTTAGAGGCTGAGGCGGGCAACTCTGCAGCAGCCCAGGCCTGAGAGGCTGTGCTGGCATGGGCTCCTTCCCATATCCACCCCTCGGTGTGGAAGGGGTTGTGCGTGTGTGCGCCCACACATTTCTCTGGGGAGGGCTAGAAGAGACCCCTAGTTCTCTAATCCCCATTAATCACCTCCTCTCTGTTGACTGTTACTCCTGGCAGCTCGCTTCCTCCCACTGGGGTGCACCCCCAGCCCCGACTTCCTCCTGCATGGCAGGGTGCTCCCCATGCCTGGTGAGCTCCATGGCAGGGAGGCAGGGATACCTTTGTTCTGGCCTGAGCCCTGGGCACCTGCCTTGACCTTGGAAAGTGTCCCCTTCTCTTACTGGGAATCTGACATCCCCTCTCCAAGGATCTCTGAAGCACTTCAGGCTGGGGCCCGGCATGCCACTGAACACCTTCACCTGCCCGTCCCTTCCTGGGACATGGCACCGTGTGGCAGTGGTAGACTCAGGTGTGTGACCTGTGGCCCAGAAAGGCTTTCTTCTTCTCACTGGGCTGCAATGGAAGCTGCTTTCTTGGAGCACCATGTCCAGGATTTTCCGATTTTGTTTTCCGACACGCGCAGCAGTGCAGAATGGAGCCTGGTGGCTGTTTTGGGCCCGCTTGTTCTCCTGATGCTCTTCCGTGTCCAGGAGGTAGACCTGGTGCTCGCTAGGAGGCCTCGGCTGCAGAGACCTGGGCACGCAGGGAGCCAGGCCAGGGCTCTGCGTCTTGCAACGAATGTGCTGTTGCAGCTGGCAGGCAGCTGGGGACTCTGCTGTCTGGCCACCGGCTTGCTACTTTGCTGCATATCTGAATCACAGGAAGGCTTCCCAAACTTCCCTGTGCGTGGAGTGGGGTGGGGAATAGAGACCGGGGTCTCCGGAGAAGTTCCTGCCTGAGGGGTCCACGTGCTCCTAGGAGTAGGCAGAACTCCTTAAAATGGCCTGGGCTCTCAGGGTCCCTCCCACCAGCCTGACCCACCTGCGCCTCGTCCCCCCCCCCCCGGGGTCCCCAGCTGACAGTGTCTCCCTCTTCTGGCCCAGACCCTTGTGGTTGGTTTGCTTTTTGAGCTGCCGCTCTCTCTGCTCAGGGGACGTGGTCCCACCCTCCTGTCCCCTCTGCCCGGGAGGTGCTGTGGTTCCTTCAGTCTCCTGCCAAAGCCATGTCTTCCAACAACTCCCCTGCTCTCCCTTCTCAGCGCTTGGGGGAGACATCTGCACACACAAATCAGTACAGTAACAGTGTAACGAACGCTCCAATCTGCCAGGGAAGTGGGAATCTTTCATGTCTCTTGTGAAGAAAGGCTTCCACCCTTGGCAGTGAAACTGCATGAAAGAGCTGCTTAGGAACACTCCCTGGCCCTTCCCTCCTGCCCCAGGTGGCCACACCCAGGGGTGAGCTGCGTGACCCCCTCACACTCGGGAGGATGCAGCGATCAGCTCTGATGTCTGGGAGGCGCAAGGTCACCATGGCTCCTAAACCCTGACCTTTCCCACCGAGCCACACAGGTGGCCTCCTGTATATAAACAGGGTGAAGGCCCTGCAGGTTTCCTCCCTTCCCTTTCCCCAGCTCCATCTCCGGATGGAGGGTCCTCTTTGCAGGGCTCCATCCTCTAAGGACATCGCAGTGGATGTCCTGGTGCTCACAATGACTGAGCACAGTATTTCTTGGGCATTTGGCTGCATAACCAGCAATTTCTGAGCAAGAAAAATTACGCTTTTTATTTTTTCATATTTACCACCAAATTGCTTTTCAAATGACTGTGGCAATTTCTGTGCCCACCGAGGGTTGGATGATTTCCCTCTCCACCCTTGCTGGGGGGGTGGTGGTGAGTGATAGTCTCTCCCTGAGTCCGCCTCCCCGGGTGACCAATGAGCAGTGCCCACGCTCACTCAGGCTCACTGTACAGGTAGGAGGGCTGTAGAGCTGTGCCACTGTCCTGAGGGTTGGGGGTCCCCCTGTGGTTCTGAGATAGAGCAGGGCCCCACATCCTGGGCAGGCTGCCCTCTCCTTGCCCTGCTTGTGGACAGTGTCCCTTTGCTGGACACCAGTGTCTGGGTTGGGCACAGGACCGCTCTGCACCTGGAAATACTATGCTGCCTTCCACAGTGCTCTCACCCTCCGAGACCTGCCCGGGGCGGGGGGAGCAGATGAGTCCACAGAGGGGACAGAGAGGGCACTCCGTGAAGGACACCGTGAGGTAAGCACAGGCCCAGGGCTTTGGGGAGGAGGGACACTGGCTGGAGACGGCTGCTTGCTGAGCGTGGCTGAGTTCCAGGGACCAGGGCTTTGCTGGAGTCCACTCAGTTGCAGGGCTGGAGGGTGAAGGGAAGGCGGAGAGCATGGGCCATGGCCTGTGGGGGGCAGTTCTTTGCCTCTCCCCACACAGCCCCCTTTCTCAGTCTGTTTCCTGTCCTGCTCTGAGTTGCCTGCCTCCTGGTGTCCCAGGACAGAACAGAACTGTCCTGGGAAGTGGCACTGGTACACTCAGTGTCCACTCCCACCCTCTGCATCATGGCTACGGGCTGGACATCATGCAGGCTGTTGATGTCTTTCACCGGCCTGTCCTGTGCCCACCTGTTTGAAGCACGCCAGCTGATTTGGGCAGGGAACTAGCACAGGGGCTACTCTCTCAGAAGAGATGCACGCTAATAACTGTGCAGAGGGTCCGCTCTTGAAAGCCCAGAGGCCAGAATGCCACAGTCCCCAGGATACAGGGCACCGATGGACAGCTCAGGGCGCCATGCTCCTTCACAAGCCTGTCTTCCCCGAGGTGTGTGTTTGTTTAGCTGTGAGTGTCCTAACCTGCAGATCCCCTGGCAATGGGAGTTTTTCTTATTCTAGACTTTTAATGTTTGACAGTTTAATGACTTAGGGACCTGACAGGCAGCAGGAAGTTTCCCTCAGAAGGCCCTTTCTCTGTGGTACAGCAGAGTGTTCCATGCATCCCTGACCACTGGGCCTCAGGCAGTCCTGCCTGGGGTCAGTGGTGCCACCCTACCCGGCCTGTTCTCTGCTTATGGCCCCAGAATCAAGTTCCTAATGAGGACGGACCCTATCCGTGCACAGGAAGATAAACTCAGAGGAGCAGAGATTTCGGTATAATCCCCAGCCAAAGCTACCTTAACGTGTAATCAAGTTACCGTTTCATATTTCCAAATAAAGTTGAACAGTAGGGCTAAGAGATCTCATTTGGGAACCGAACTTAAATTTAAATACCGCCTGCCTCACGGTATTAGGGATTTTTAGACTTTCAAATAACCAAGCCCGGGGAAATTGGTTTGGACAGGCTCTCTGGCTGCCCCTCTCCATGGCCCCATTAATTGCCAGCTTGGATCGATTGTGCTGAGCATGCCAAGTACCCAGCCGTGAAAGCATCAGAGGGAGGTTGGAGCCATCCGGGCCATCCAGAGGGGACCCCGTGGCACATCACAGACTCATGGCGACGACAGAGCCATTGCACACCTCACTAGAGACAGGGTGAGCGATTACAGGTGAGCAATTAGCCCATAGCCAGTGTGGGCGTGCACAGCAAGAGGGAGGAACAGGAAGCGAGCAGGTTCCTTTCTCCTGTAGAGCAGCCAGGGAAGCCCGATCTCAGCACAAACAGGGCCCCGTCCTCTCCAGCTGCCCTGCACAGAGAGCCAGGCCTGTGACAAACAGCTCTGAGCTAGAATCAGCCTGTGACCGGGTCACACAAAAGGGGACAACAAAGAGGATGGGGAGGGGTGCCGGCTCCTCCCCCAAGGCCTGTGGTGGGCGTGGCAGCCGTGGACACCCCCCCTCCCCCATGGCTGGGTGCTTCAGGCGCCTCCTGTGGACTCTGCCCTTCCACCCGATATCTGAGGCATTCCCCTGGACCTCCCTCTGTCTTTCCTAGGTCAGCGTGTCCTTTGCAGATGTCCTGGAAGCAGTAAGGTTGATTAGCTAGAAGTGGCTGGTGACAAACACAACTACGGATTCCCATCTGTATTCTGTTCTGACAGAGAAGGCTGTTTTCTCTACCAGTAAGCTTTCCTTCGTCGCAAAAATCTGCAGAAAAAGCCATTTCTTGATAGATAACTCAGAGATGGTGAAGACAAGGGTGCTGGGACCCCTATGAATTGGGGGTGCTCTGGGCTCCCATCCCTGTTTTCCTACGCAGGAACCATGTTCTTAAGTGTACACAGCAGGGTGCTGTGGGGTGGCTCTTTGGTCTGAGCCATCACGTGCAGGTTCAAGGCCCAGTTCTGTCTCAGAGCCCAAAGTCCCCTGAGGCCCTCTGAGCCTGACATCCTTCTGGGGCCACACCATCCCCCTGTGCCTTGCCTCTCCCAGGGCTGCTGGGGGCTGATCCTGGCAGGGAGCGCGTTGTGGGTGTGGTCCGCTGCTGACTGTTTAGTAGACAGAAGGGAGGTTAAGTCATCCTGAAAAGAGGCGGAGCCAGATTGACACCTGTACACGACCACAGGATTGTGAGTTCCATGGTGCTTTCCTGAGGGTGTCATGACCAGCAGCCTGTGGCCCCCAGAGGTATCCAGGTCCTCACCCTGGGACCTGTGACCTTCGTCTTCCGTGGTAAGAAAGCAACTGTGGCTGTGACTTAGTTAAGAACCGGATAGGGAGATTATTCCGGGCTCTCAGGAGGTCCTAGAGGCCATTGACTACCCTGGGAGGGAGGGGGGGAAGCTCTGACGACCAGGACAAGGCCACCGAAGATGGGCAGAGAGCTAGAAGATCGTGTGGTGCAGCCTTGGCCACGAGGAAGGCCCGAGGAGCCAGGAACACAGGCTCCCCAAGGGGCTGGGAGGGCAGGAAATGGGTCCTTCCGGAGGGAGCCTGGCTCGGCTGATGCCTGGAGCGGCCTTCTGACCTCCACAACCGGTAGGAGGTAAACAGGGGCTGTCTGAAGCCACCTCTTCATGGTGATGTTAGCGCTGCCCCAGGAAACTCACAGACAAGGAAGCAGCCCATGACGGGGACCCCTATCTGCATTTGAGGCACTCAGGTGGGGCAGTGCCTGGGAGGACACCACAGCCCATCTCTGGATGTGAGAGGTCGGGGGAGAAGACACTAGGGAGCTGGCAGGGACAGGAAATGCCCCTGCCCAAGCCCACCTTTGTGTCTGCAGAAACCCCGCAGCCGCCATGCCCTGGCATCCAGGCCAAGAGGCCCTGTCCTCAGGGCAAGGAGCTGTGTGTGGCCTCCACCTCCCGACCCACAAAGGGCCACGAGTCAAGTACCAATGCTGGGTGGGCAGCTAGGCACAGATGCCAGTGTTCAAGTCAGCAGTGACCAGGGAATCTGAAATGCAAGCCCCAGTAAGCCTTTAGGAACCTTCCTAGCCTGAGCACTTCTCCACTATTCGGGGCATATTTGAAATAATCCTCTGTATCATGAAACGCAGCTCCCCACTTCTGCAGAGTCACAGCTGGGTGTCAGCCACCTCGACTCTCACAGCAGCTGGACGCTCCCACCTATTCCTTTAGAACTCCCGATGCATAGCCACTTAGATGTGATTGCCTGATGGATGTAATAAGACAGTTATTTAGTTTATTTAAGCTATTCAAATATTATCTGATTATTTAGAAACATTTATAGGGGCTAATTATAAGTAACTGTTGATCAGGAACGGAGCAGCGATAAGATTAATCCTCGGTAACCACAGCTCTGACAAGTAGCTGGTATTTATTTAACACACATTAAATGATTTTAAATCCGCATTAAGAGAGCCTTGGGCTTAGCAAAGTCTTGGGGACACCGATTACGATAAAGTAGCCGTCACCCCTGGCCCTCTGGTGTGGAATGAGATGGGTCAGCAGAGGCCAATTCTTACTGACTACTGGCTGTGGAAGGAAGACTCCAGCAGTTGAGGGAGAGAGCAGGGCCCGGGCGTGCGGCAGGAGTGCAGACCCATGCACAACTGGCACCTTGCTGTCCACACGGGACCCCGGCCCACAGGCCTTCTCTACTGCAAGGAGGGAGCAGCTGTCCAGGGCCCCTGGAATCAAGGACATTTGCTCAGGGGCTCTGCTCTGCATGTCGCTGCCTATGAGTCCTGATGCGCCCCAGCAAGGGAACTGAACCCTGTGCCATCTGTCTGTGCAGCCTTGTGGAGTCTGATAGCTTTGTGCCAGCGTCGTTAGTTGAGAACCAGTGGTGGTAGTGGGCTGGGTACCGAGGGGCCAGGAGGGACATGGTCCATGCCAGCCAGTGCCGGCCGAGAGTGAGCAGCCCCGTTTCTGCTTCTCCGAGGTCGGGATAGGACCCTGCCTGCAGTCGAGCAGCAGGTGGTCGTTGCACAGGGCTACCAATGGCCCTGCCAGGGTCTGGTGCCTCCCTGGGAGGCCCAGGGGCCCAGCTGCTGCCTCAGATCAGGGCTGCGTGAGCTCAGATCCCCTGGGCCAGGACGTTTACTAACCTGTGCTGAAGGCCAGGCAGTGACCAAGCAGCCACAGCTCACGGTGGCTGGCCTGGGCCTGTGGCTTCTGACTCACTGGAATGAAGCTGTGGGGGTAGCCTGAGGCCCTCGGCTTGCCCAAGGGTGTAGTGACAACTGCATCCTGTGCCCAGGCCCCTTGCCGGATGCCACCTGGGTCTTCTCTCCAGAACCTGGGGTGGGGCTTGCTTTGCCTTTGCCCAGCCCCCAGCAGTTTCCTTGGCTCTGACACAGTGCCACCTCTGCGTAGGTGAGGCAGAATGGGTTCTAAAGCCTGGGCTGGGCAGGAACACCCTCTACTGCCACACTCAGCGTGCCTTCCTGCTGAATACCAGCTGCAGTCCTGGGCGCCCACAGAGGAAGTGACCCCTTGGCTCCAATGCCTGGCCGTTGGGGGGACTCCTGGCCAGAGGCTGGGCCTCCTCCATCGTCGGACTGCAGAAACCCTAACCTGAAGGCCTGGTTGGGACCCTTCCTTCCCCCTGCTGCCCAGGCTAGGGGCTGGCACCTGCTGTGGCCCGTGGGGGACAGTATGAGTGGCAGTGGAGAGCCATATGGTGCTCTGAGCAAGTCAGCACAGGCTCTGGGCTTGTCAGCATTGGCAAAGCAGCATGCAACTTACATAATTTTTCCTTGAAGTGGGAGATTTTCCACTTTAGCAGAAGCTTGTGGAAACAGTCTCTGCTGGGTGGCTAATTCCTCTCCGGCTCCGCATTCTCTGCACTGCAGTTCACAGGATTTCCCAGCAGGCGAGAATCCAGGCTGTGCGCCCAGCGGGTAGTGGCTGGGCCCCTCTCCCCAGTGAGCAGCCCCAGGTCCGTGTAGGGTACTATTCTCAGGTTTCCCTGATGGCTGCCCTGATACAGCGGCCACCCCACTTTCACAGTGATTTAGAACAAATCAGCAAATCTGAGCTGTGAGAACTCAGTGTGACCCCACTCTGGTCTCCCTGTTCAGACGGGCCACAGTTGTCCCTGCTGGAGAGGGCAGTGGTGGAATATTCCAGGCTTCCCCAGGACACCTCCTACAGGGGGCACTCTTGTCCCAGAAGCATGGCACAGAAGCAACAGACAGAAGCTCTGTGAGGTTTTGTTTTGGGGACCCATGAGCTAGCCACACAGCCACGGGAATTCAACAAGAAGTGGAGACTTGGTCACCAAGTGTGCCGCCCCTGAAATCTCACACGTGTTTGCCAAGGTGGTGTGAGACCCTTCTCCCTGTTTACGGTCCAGGATGGGTGTGAGGCCTCTGTCCTCTTCCAACAGAGGGTTGGGCTGAGGTGTGCGGGGACCTGGCTGGGGACACCCCACCCATGAGAGCTGAGACTCTCGGGCCAGCGGCCTCCTGGGTCTGCCCTGGGCCACTTTCTTCTCTCGATTGGAGCCAACCCCAGCAGCCTATTTGTCCTGTGTACTCAGCAGCCCATGCACTGTACCCAGGCCTCCTCCCCACTCTGTGTTCCACCTGGTACATGGGACAGAGGCCAAAGCCATCAGCACCTGAGGCCTCTGTCAGGACCCTGAATTCCTCTTCCCTAAGTGGCTCCACCCTGGGATCCCAGGGCAGGAGATTGGGGCTGATGGGCCTGGGGAAGGGAGGGAGGAGAATGCATGGGGGTCTCTGCTGTCTTGGAAGATGGCAGCAGGCATCTGTGTGTCCCTTGTCCCTGCCAGCTTTGATCCTCTGTGTGTTTGCCTCATGGTCCCCAGTTAGGAGAGGGCAGGCTGCAGGCGACTCCTGTTCTGGGGTGTCTGCAGCTCTGCAGCTTGGGGTTTAGCTCCTTGAGAATCTTTGTCCCAGACGAGGGTGGAGAGGTGCAGGGGCAGCCACCTGGACCTGTTTCCAAGGAGGGTTTCCGCTGTTTATCGACAGGGGTTTCTAGAACGCTGCAGCCATTGCATGACAGAGGTGGCGTGTTTGGCATCTCCTTGCTGTGTTCCCCTCATCAGTGTCTGCTGGGTGTGGCGGAGGATCTGTGAGCCTGAGCGCCGCTGGCTGTAAGCAGGGAAAGCAGAGGTGTGGAGGGAGCCCAGCTTCCAGAAGTGGCCTGATACCTGATGTTGTGGTCAGGGGTTGTAAGAAGAACAATTACATACAGGACACACCACTTATAGTATTATTTATAGTGGTCACCCAACAAGTCAAATACAAAGAAAGTGAGGAAGTCTGTCCACAATGCTAAACACCTAGAGAATCGAGCTGAGGCCTGGATTCCCACGGCAATGTCCCACATGGGTTCAGCCGAAGACCTACAGCCCATGACAATGACTCGTGCAAGTCTGTTTCACGGATCTGCGCTGGGAAGACCCAAGGTCAGCGGTGGAAGCTAGAAAGTCTGTGCCAGCGGAGTGAAGGAGCTGTGCCAGCAGGCTGAGGTTTCTGTACAGGAGCCAGGAAGCGATGCTCCAAATAAGGACCAGGGCTCCCCTGAAATGTGCCACAGCCATCCTCAGGGATAATGACATCCCGAGCTCCTCCAAAGATGAGAACAGCCAAGTTCATATCAGGAAGCCAGCTCGACAAGCTTCTGGAGACAGAGCAGCACACATCTTCTCTGGGGCCAGGAAGCCATGCTCAAAGTAGGACCAGACGCCCACTCCCAAAGTGAACTGCAGCCACGCTCAGCGATGAAGTTCTGAGCTTCTCTGATGCTAACAGCCGAGTGCATATCAGGGAAGCCAGCATGATGAGCTCCTCGAGGAGAACCAACAGCTCCAAATGGCAACACTTAGGAGAACCCACAACATGGCTCTTCCTATCCAGGTCTCCTTTTTATGCTGGCAGCAGTGCTCAGGTGGGCTATCTACATGCAGTACTATATTGATTCAGTTCAGCTGGGGTGTAAGCTGACCACCAGTTAGCAATCCACTACACCTGGGTCACGGAGTCTGGACAGTGCCCAGGCCTTTCCCTGGGAAGAATGCCAACCCGGCCCTGCCTCTCACTTGTGGTCCGGGCGGGGTAGGGCAGTGGGATGTGTGTGTCTGAGCCCTGAGGAGTGTCCAGCCCCCAAGGCTCCCCTCCCTGTCAGCAGGAGGCACGCGCTTCCGAGCACCATGCTGGCCCTCCCCACCCTGCAGCGTATGTCTAAAACAATCATTTCTGTGCCCAGGTGAGCACAGCTCCCCAGCTGGTTCCTCCCCCCACTGTCTCCTGCCCCGCCATATGGGGCCACTGCATCCCAGCGGGTCAGGCTGAACCCCTGAAGCCGGCCACAGCGTTGTCCTTCCCGTCACCTCCCTCTCCCTTGGCAAGGCCTGTCCACCCTGTCCAGCCCATTTCATGCCCACCTCTTACTTCACCCCTCTGCAGTCCTAGCCAGCCCCACCACCGCTTCCCCTCGCCCAGCCAGCTCCCCACTGAGTGCTCTGGAGAGCTCTAGGCCCTAATTTTCATACCCTGTGCATTCCCTGCAGCCAAAGGCATCTCAGGATGAAAGGGCAGATGTCCCTTCTCACCACACCTGGAGCAACTCTAGATCCCTCCTCTGGCTGTGGGCCCAGGCCTGGTACCCATGCCCTTTCCCTGTCCTCTCCCACTTCCTTCACAAATGAACCTCCCTATTCATTGGGAGCACCATGCTCATTCCTGCCTCAGGGCTTTCGCATGTGCTGTTCATATGCATAGCTGACTGCTTGTCTTGCAGGCCCCCAGTCAGCAGCTGGCTCCCAGGTGAGGACTTCCCTGACCCATCCCACACACGGCCCCAGCTTCCCACCTGGCCTGCCCTTCAAGCAGGCTCCTTCTGACCACTATCTACCCCCTTGTACATTTCCAGGTGCACTGTGCTGGATAGATAGGTTTTGGCACCAACACACAAACCCTTCTGGGCGCGGACCGTGGCCACATGGCCCCCTCTGCAACAGTGATCAGTCCTCGCTCGGTACAGGTCTCTGCGGCGACCCTCGGGCACAGCCTACAACTGGCTGGAGGGGGACTTTCCTATAATAACCTAAGATGCCCTCCAAGGAGAAAGCAGTGAACTAATACGCTACAGCTTCATAAACTCCATCTCTGTTGCTGATCTAGTAAAACAATCTAGAAGTCACTCTGGTCTAAAAATCTTCTTGGTGGCAGACTTCCTCATCCAAACTTTTTTTGGTGTTCCCAGGTGGGCAGATGGGATGGATTTCCCCAGGCCCCCTGCCCAAGGCCGATGACATGTATCCCTGATCGGGAGTTTTAGACCTTGAGATGGCTTTAGCCTGGTAACTAGTGATGCCGGGTTTGGCCTGTTTAATTTGTCCTTTGTTCCAAAAGTCTTAAATGTTTCTGGCAACAGTAGCTGGAGCTGTGCTGCTGTGGCTGTTCCTCTGTTCCAGCAAGGTTCTACTGCTGGTGGAGCAGGGAGATGGTCTGAGGGTGACAGCACCGGAGTGGCCAGGGGGGTGGATGGATGGACAGGTTCCCTGTGGGTAGATGAGGGATAGATGAAGGATGTGTATGTGGGGGAATGGGTAGACTGAGGGATGGATGAAGGATGCACACGTGGGCGGATGGACAGATTGAGACCCAGATAGATGTATGGATGTTGCATAGATGGGTGGGTGAGTGGCTGGCTGGGTAGATGGGTGGAGGATGGATGTGACGGATGGATGGATGGAAGTCGGATAGGTGGGTGGCTGGAGGGTGGACACACAGACGGATGAAGGTAGAATAGGTGGGTGTGTCAGAGGACAGATGTGTGGGCGGGTGGACAGATGGATGAGTGGACACTGACCTAACACATGACAGATGTTCTATTTACATCCTATCATCCTTTATAATCAATTTCAGAATGTGTACTATAAATCTGTATCAACCCTGCTCAAATCTACATGTTAAATTTGCAACTTGGAGTATGTTTAGAATCCATTATTTTTAATAGAAAACCTAAGTCCCAAGCGGGGCACCTGTTTAACGGATAGAGCGCCAGGCTCGGGCTGCCCTAAGTCGCCCACACACGCACGCAGCTACCCTGCCCTGGTCCTGGTGGCCTGGTCTCTCTGGACGCACTCTTTGGTTGTCTGCTTGCTTTTGCTTTTAGCCTGGAGTCTCCCTGACTTTCCCTGTTTTATCTCCTCACATCCTGGGAAAATGAAAAGAGCTTTTCCATCTAAGTAAGTTGTGCAGCCCCAAAACTCAAAGTTCAAGTCAAACACGACTCGATCACAGGAACCTGGACAGGGCCGGAAACCCAGGGCCGATGCAAGGGCCTTTGGGGCCATCCCAGGGCTGAGAAGAGCCGGGAAGACCTTGAGCCTTTCCCAGTCGGTACCTGGTGGTCCTGGGACTGAGCACAGCCTGGGAGACCCACATCCTGCAGACAGCACTTTACAAAGCCTCTTCCTCACTAGCATTTAGCAGAGAAACTTTGACAAGGCCTGACTTTCCAAGGCCCAAACTGAAGAACCTAAGAAGCATTTTCTGTTGTCTTCCATAGCTCAGGAAATTCCAGGAAAAGGGATTTGGCTGGCTGCCGGGTTTCGGTTGGCTTTGCATTCTCTCTGCAGCATCCCCCTGCCCCCGGTTCTGGAGCTGAAGCCAGGTCTCCGAGCCAACACCTTTGCGCGGTGGACTTTCCTCCCTGGTTCTCTGTGATTCTGCAGAAAGGAGTTTTTTCAAAAGTAAAGGTCTGGGCCTGGGGTTTAGCTCTGGGGAGCAAGCGCCTGCTTGGCAAGCATGAGGTTAGGAGTTTGATCCTTGGTACCAAACGAAACAAAACAACAATAAAAACCGAGGGTCTGCTATTTGCCAAGAATGAACAGGAGACACCAACTGCCGTGAGAAACACACGGTGGCCTCCTGCAGGGCAGCAGCAGAGGAATGTGCTGCCCAGCTAGGTGGTCTGGGTCCATCCCTGGGGCGGTGGGTGGCAGGCAGGGGACATCTGGACACCCACCGACACCACGGTGGGTGCCGGCTGGCCCTGCAGACGTGTTTTTTATCAGCATCACTGCTCCTCTGCTGTCCCTTCCCTCTCACGCTGCAGACATTTTGAACCTCCTCTCACCACTGCCCACAGGCCGGCTCCCTGGCTGCTCTTGCCCTTCCTGTGCCTGGGAATCGGGCCCAGCTCCTCACATCTGCACTTGGCGAAGTTGTGCAGAGGCTCTGAGACCCTGTGCCATGGTGCAGCTCCCAGGGAGGGTCTCTTTCCTCGTGGCTACCGTGTCCAGGTCACCCACAACACCATCTTCCAGGACTCCCCTGTGCCCTCTGCCCTGTGTGGAGTGGCCTTTGAGGCCACAGAGAAGCTCAGAGGCAGAGGGCGCTGCATACTCAGAAGTGAGACCCACAGTGACCCTGTAATGCATAGGCCGTCCCTTCTCCTCCTCTCTGCTCAGAATGTAGTGGGCCAGGCCTCAAAGTGACCTTCATGGGCCCATGTGTGGGTGGCAGTGATATCTTTCTGCACAGAGTTTGCACAGCTGTGCCGGATGGGAAAGCTGGAAAGGTCACTGAACTGGGCCCAGGAGGCCCTTGAGATCTGGGGGTGACAGACAGCTCTTTGCTGGTACACTTGCTGAAGTATCTGCTGGCATCTGAGACTGGAGCAAAATCCAAGCACCCTTGCAGGGCTCTCACAGCTAAAGGTGCCCTCTCACCTTGCTTTAGTCCTCCCTTTGAAGTTTGGTGCTCCCAGGGCTGTGGGGAGTCGGCCTGTGTGGCCTGCTCTTGAAGCGGCTTGGTGCAGCCTGATGTGAGCATGGGCCCCTAGGTGGGCAGCGGCCAGCAGCAGCGTGAGAAGCAGCAGCGGGGTGGTGGGGACTGAGCCAGCCAGGGCTGATGCAGTCGAAGGCGAAGCTGTATCTCACATGCAGGGAGAGGGCCACTGACAGCCACCGTCCCTGTTGTGCAAGGAGAGAAGTGTGCATGTGGTCTTTTGCTTCAGGGAATTTTAAATGTGTATTTTATGCAGCATTTTTTGGTTAAAATGCTGGGAATGAGCTCCTATTTCTGAAATCTGTGTTGGGGTCAGACAGAGCACCTCTGTGTGCTGAGCGGGTTTAGGCTGCAGCACACACAGGCGCAGCCTGGGGCTGCCTCACAGGTCAGTGGGCTTGGGCACTGCCCAGGTCTGGCATCGGGCGCTTCCTGCACCCGCATTTCCACAATTCCAGGACACTCTCACTCCATCCTGGCTGGACTGCCTCTGGGACACAGGACACGAGCTGAGTGGCACAAGACCACCTCTTCCCCTTTGAGCCTCAGGCCCAGACAGGGGACCCCTGGTCTTGCAGGCCCCAGGGCAGCAGGTCCCAAACCTTGAGAGTCACTAATTAGTGATCCTAAAGAATGCAGGGATCTGCTGGGGCTCTGACTGTTTCTAACCAAGCAAGAAATCTGTCCCCACCTCATCACTAGCCGCCTCCTGCTGCTCTGTCCCCTAGGCCTGCGCGGCAGCTGGGGCGTCTAGGTGCGGCAGCTGGGGCGTCTAGGTGAGTCTAAGCCACATGAGGTTCCCTGGGCTTAGGATGTGATGCTGCTGGGCCCTTCCCCCAGCCACAGGCCTGCCCCTGCCCGATAGTCGGGCTCTGTGCTCTCACCCTGTCAAGGCCACCATTCTTTAGCCACTCTGAGCTCCTCCTCTCCTGACCTTTGTGCTCGGGGTTCCTCTGCCCCAGGCCCTTGCCCTCCAGATCACAATGGTTCCCCTGCTGCCATGTTTGGTTTTCTCATCAGAATCAGCTGTCTCTGACAGGCTGCAGGCAGCCCTGTCCCCTGGTCCCTTGTGTCACCTGTTGCTTTGCTGGTCTTTCTCCTCCACTGCCAACCCCATGAACACTGGACTTGGATCCTGCTGCGTCCTCTCTCTAAGGGGCCTCTGCAGAGAGCACGCGGGAGCCCAACATGGAGAAAGTGGATGAGCGAAGAATGAATGAACAGGTGAATGGCCACCACTGGCCAGCTGCGGAGCACGGCGCCACATAACAACATGTTCACCACAGCTTCTAGGAAGCCACACAGAAGAATGCAAGTTACCCCTGTATGTACAAGGGCTGTGGGCTGCCCAGCCCCGGCATCCCAGGCAGACCGTGCCACGCTCACACTGTCCTCAGTGCAGCCACCCGGGGCAGCCCTGGGCCCTCCTGTCCAGCATGGCGGCTGTGCATCTCAGAGCTGGCCTGGACACCTGAGGCTCCATGGCTGTGGCTGGGCTCAGGGTCTGCCAGGGCAGGTGTGTGAGCCCACACTCTGCAGCCCACCCCAGCGCTCCAGCAGCTCAGTGAGCATGTTACATATTTTACAGTGTCATATATTACAGTGATGATGGAAATCTAAAATATTAATATATTCTAATTGAATATTCTCCAATAAATTATCTGAGCATTTGCAGCAATTTGATTTTACTTTCATTTCTTAAGGAACTTTCAGCTGCATAAATATAGCCATTAAAGCAATTCAAGAAAGGGAACATTTTCTGCTCAGACTAGGGGACGGTAAACACAAAGGGCCCGTGCGTCCCTTTCACATGATTGATTAAATCACGGAACCCAAGGCAGCTGAGTCGTTAAATGACTGCTTTCTTCTCGTCCCTCTGGCTTCAGCAAGGACAGTGTGAGCTCCCCGTGGCCTCAGCATGATGTAATTACAGCGGGGCTGAGGCTGCTGCTGCACCATCCCACCTGAGCTGGGGCTGCACCTTCCGGCCCCTGGAGAGTGGTGGTGGGGCTCTGTGCACGTGTGTACCTGCCCCTCACCTCCACTGGGCCGGGAGGGGGCGGGTGCCCACCTATGGGTGACGGACACATCTGTGCCACCCTCATTGCGAAAGGGGACACTCTGTTTCTAAGAGAATGTTGGGGAGGAGCTGCTGGCTCAGGAGCAGCTCCTGAAATCATTTTCACAGTGGCTCCCTGCACTCCAGTGATGGTCACTGTGTCTGTGGAAGGCAGGGTGACATTGCTACCACCACAGGCAGACCTGAAGTCGTCCTTCCCAGAGGCTCCTGACTGCCGGGTTGGAAACCCTCTCATCCACTTCCCACCCCCTCCACAAGCTCCCGAGCTTCTCTGCCCTGATAGGTTACCAGGGAAGTCAGGGGTGGAGATGTTCTAGTCTCTGCCTTTCTGGTGACACAGTTACAAGTTTCAATGCATGTGTTTACAGGGAAAGTCTTTCTCACCGATTCTAGGGGTGACCACAGGCTTCCTAAGGACACAGTATCACTGTTTACCCAGGTTGATATTGAACCACTATGTGAAATGCTAGAACCTGGAAACCGTAAGGTTCCGTCTACTCCATTCTGTCCTCTGTGCAGTTGTTACCTTACACTTTTTTGTTTTATTGTTGTCATCCATATTAAAAGGACATTAAATTACTAGCTCCACAATACCACATTACACCTTTCCTTTAAATACTGAGTTATTTTTTAAAGAAATTAAAGATCATGGTCCTGGTCTCGGTCCCCTCCTGTACATCCGAATTTCTGACTGCTATCACTGGTTTCAGCCCGCAGAACATCTTCACTCTAGCGATGTGCTCCCTCAGCTTGAACATCAGGAATGTCTTCATTTTATCTTTTTAATATGGGGTTTCTTCAAAGAGAGGATTCCTGGTTGGTAGACTGCAGTTTTGAAACGCCCTTCCATTGGCCTGTGACCGCCATAGTCTCCACAGAGAAGTCAGCCGCCTCCTGTCCCTGCATGTCCTGCAGCTTCCCCTCCACTGCATAGACGTCTCTCTTTGTTTTTAAATTGCAGCACTTTGACAGTGATCAAGGTATGGTTTTCTTTGTGTTTACCTTGTGTGAGCTCATTAGAATTTTTAGACTGTAAGCTCCTTTTTCTACCAACTTTGGGAAAATTTCAGCCATGGCTTCTTCAAGGATGTTCTCTCACCTCTCCTTCGACTCATAATGACACAAGTGGCCATTTGTCCTTGTCTCACTGAAATTCTGTGTTCTGATTTTCCCCACCACCCATTCTTCAGATAGGATAATAGACTGATCTATCTTCAAATGCACTGATCCTTTCTTTTGTCTCCTACTATCTCCTTTTAAACCCATCCAATGAGTTTTTCATTAGAGATACCGGAATTTTCCGTTTTTCTATTTCCATTTGGTTATTTCTATTTCCATTTGGTTTTTAAAAATATCATTTTCTGCTATTATTCCCCATCTGTTCATTCAATCTGACCATATTTTTCTTTAAATCTTTGAACATATTTATGAAATATTTAAAGGTCGTGTTGCTAATTCCAATATCCATGTAATCTCAGGGTCAGTTTCTTTGGGCAGCTTTTTCTTCTTACTGTGGGTTACAATCTCTCTCTCTCTCTCTCTCTCTCTCTCTCATCTGGTAATTTTTGTTTGTATACTAATCATTGTAGAGAACATGTTGTAGAGATATGACTGTTATTTTTCCCCAAAATACATTTATTTTTTGATATAGCAGGGAATTAACTTAACCGAACACAAATCACAGTGTGTTTCTCTTACTAAAGGCAGCATCTGAATTCTCTGCCCAGTTCTTCCCCCTTTCTAGGTATTTGCTTCCTTGGGGTCTCTGGAGTGACCCCAGTTCAAGGGGCAGTGAGAATCTGAGTCAGGTTAGGGGCAGTTGGGGAGCCCCCATCTGTGGCTACACATTTTCTGGGATTTATCTCCTCACATTCCAGTTGCTTTGGCAGCTCTGAATGCCCTCTTCTGGCTCTGTGGCCAGCAGGACAGTAGTTTTCTATAAGATCCACCCCCTCTTCGCAGAGACCAGAAGGGGCCCTCCGAGGGAGGCCACATGAGCCCAGATCTCACTCAGCTGCTGTCTGCTTCCAGTCGTGGAGTGTCCAGCAGCTTTCTGCTTGTTATTGATCATTCTCAAGTAACTTCAAGTAGTTAAACATTTCCCAGAGTTTATTATCTGTAGGAGTTTCAGGATGGTATAAATGACTCCCCTATTACCAGAAGAACTCCCAATTTAATTATTGTTGAGGACCGTGTCTCTGACCTAACGCTCTCCATAAAGACCATGCAGGGCTGGGCAGCAGTGACCCTTCTGAGGTTACCAGTCACAGTCCTTAGCTGCACCTGCTCTGCCCCCAGGACTGCCTGATAGGTGCTCTGCCCTTCAAGAAGCTTTACACTTGAAGCTCCAGAGATCCGGCCATGGAGGGACTCAGGCAACTTATTCACCTGCCCTCTTGGTAAGCACCTGCAGCTTGGGCCTGGGGAAGAACCATTACCTGTGAGCCTACGGCCAGGTGAGCTGAAAATCAAGCACTCTTCTCCCACCTGCCCCCTCCCCCCTTAGCTACTGGGGATAAATGTTTCAACATCTCTTGGGAGGATGACCATATGTAGTATAGCAAATATGGGGGATTTCCTTCTATCTTCTGTTTGAAGGTAAAGGTTGTTTTCACTGTTTTGTTATGTTTCTTTTGCTCTATTCAGTATTCTCAATGGGTTTTACAATGTTCTATTTTTGGTTTGATTTTAAATATGTAATTGACTGGACAGCTATTGTTAAGTTAAAGAGATATACCATAGTACTTATTACTAGTATCACAGTATCCTCCTGTGAAGTCCTGTACCAATTTCACTGCATTGTCTCGACTGGCTTTGTTCTGTCTTGTGCTGTTGCATTTTTACTACTTTCAAAATTGAAAAAAAATACATGTTAAGACTCATGCATGTGTAGAATCTATAAACAGTTTATGAGAACTGGTCTTATGACAATTGATGAAATGAACAGATACTCTGAAGAAAAGGAGACACTAAAATAGCCAGTGCTGATTCTGGAGTGTCATAATGTGAAACACAGCAATAGTGTTATTCTTTATTCAGAGTGATATTAACCTGCTTGTGTTTATTCAAAGTCAACATAATTGAAGATATGGATAACTACATGTGTGTTTAAGTGTACAGGATTGATAACCATATTTCTAAGTTTTGTTGGATAGTTGAACAGAACTGGTTGCAATCTCACTGTTTGAATCCCCACTTTATATGTTCCACTTTAGTATCTTGAATAACTATTTGTAAGAAGACAATCTGTAATCATCAACTAGTGATTTCTTACCATTTATTTTTTTCTTTGAAAGTATGTATTATTTCTACCCATTTTCTGTTTTTTTAGTCTTTCTTTAAATTCAGTTTTAAAAAGAAGACACTGCAGTACCAAGTGCTGATCCCAGAGTGTCATGATGTGAAATCCAGCAATACTATTATTCTTTGTTCAGAATAATTTTAACCTGCTTTAGTTCGTTTAATCTAAACATAAATGAAGATATGGAAACTGCATGTATGTTTAAATGTATAGGATTGACAACCATGTTACTAAGTTTCTGTTGGACAGTTGGTTAGAACTTTTTACAGTCTCTGTTTGAATTCCCACTTTACATGTTCCATCTTTGTACCTTGAACAATATTTGTAAAACGAAATCAACTAGTGATTTCTTACTGTCTTTTTCTCTGAATGTATGTACTATTTCTACCTATTTTCTGTTTTGTTTAATCTTTCTTTAAATAAAAATTAAAAAAAAAAGCTTTACACTTAATTGGGGCCACATTAGAGAAAAAATGAGAAATGAGAAAAAACTATCAAAAACTTCCCAGAATGGCAGGCTCTGGGAGTGCCATGGTCAGGGGAGGCCAGGTCTTCCTTCGAGAGGTGAAGGGCAGCATGGCTGGGGTTGGCATGCCAAGGGCAGGGTTAGGTCGTGGGGATCTATGGTTGGGGAATAAGACCCAAGCCTAGTGGCAATCACAGAAGACCAGTAGCACAGACACACAGGCCCAGCTTGCTTCCCCTGGATAATGAATGACTGATGACCACGTCTGTCATTTGTGCCTGAGTGGAGCAACATCGGAGGGGCTGAGGTGGGCTCAGTGAGTCACACGTGTGACCCAGCCGGTGTTCTGCAGGCACAGCAGGGGTTAATGTGGAACTCAGCTTGCCCCACCACGTGTGTCTGCACATTCGTAACCACTTCCAGGGAGTCTGTGCCGGGCCAGCCTGGGCCTTGTCCTGTCCCTGTCCACCATCGCCTAACGCAGACTCCCCAGGTCCCCCAGTCATGGAGGGCAGGATGGGTGTCTTTCACCTCCACACTCCCAGAGAGCCCCCTGTCGGCATGGCAGGCCCCCCAGGATGTCTGGTGGTGTGGCCCGGGAGCACCAAGTGGGAACGGAAAGGACCAAGGACACACGCAGAAAATGCTCATTGTGAGCCAGCCGGAGTCGCCTGCGGTCAGGCTGCTGTGAGCTGCCCATCACTGCCCTCCAGGGCTCTCCCTGCTCCCCAGGTGCCCAAGCTCACTTCCCCACGTGGCTGCCGTTGGGCTGAGCGGTCTGTAGCAGCTCTCTCCCCGGCCTTTACTCCAAGCTCCTCCTGTGGGTTTGCTCTCTGCAGGGCCCCGAGGACTAGATTACATGACTCCTTGTGTTCTTAAATATCAACTTTCCAAATTAAAGATTTTCTTTCCCAAGAGCATCACTTTCCTCCTGTCTGTCTTGGGTCAATGCTCATCAGTTCTCACAGGTGCTGTGGACAACCTCCTACATGAAAAAATTCTGAATTTCCCTCAGATCCCGCCATGACACAGATCCATTTTTTCACAAGTTTGCTTTCATCCTCACCCTGAAGTTTGCTGGGAAGAAGCCGAATGTGCATGTGAGAGAAGCAGGCAGCTTTTGAAACCCTGTACTGAGGCCCAGTGTTGGAACTGTCACCGCTTCTCTGATTACAGGCCCCAATTCCAAGTGACAGGGCAGAGAGCTGATGGCTTGATGATCCCAGAGGGCCACAGAAGAGCTTCCCACCCTTCCCCTTGGGATTGCGAAGCCTGCATGGTGTCGGTGCAAAGCCCGACAGATGCCCCCACTATCTAGACCAGGGCAGGAATTCAGGCCCAGGGAAGGTACCGTGCCATGGCTCACAATCCTCTGGGAATGTAAGGGACGGCCCTGTCCACCTTCCTTAGGGTCAGCCCAACGACTGCCCTGCTTCTCTTTCTGTTAGCCAGATTTCTGCTGCTGTGATAAATACCCGACACAGCCACCTTATAAAGAGAAGTTTGTTTCAGTCTTGGACCAACTGGCCCTGTTGCTTTGGGTCCGAGGCAGGGTGCCATGTCAGGAGTGTAGGGCTAAAGAGTCTTGTTCATCTCACGGCCCACTGTGAGAGACGAGAGACAGAGGACGGGCTCCCTCTGTCCATGTGAGGGCATCCCCAGTGGCCAGAAGGCCTCCCATAGGCCCCATCCCTTAAAGGCCACCACCTCCCAAAAGCCTCCACCACACAGGCTTTTGGGGGACATTAGTGTGATGACATCAGCGACTGACCATGAAGGACAGCCTAGGGCTGTAATGTAGACTGTGGCCAAGCTCCGGGGGCAGAGCCACCTGTCAGGAGCTCTGCTGTTTTTTGCCATGGACACAGCATAGTTGCCCACTGACCACGGCCACACTGCCCACCCGGCCATCCTCACTACCAAGAGGCTACCGATGCTTCCCAGCACTGCGGGGCAAGTGCCTGTGGAGAGACGTGCTGTTCCTTGCAGGAAAAGCCTGTAATTAACCGAGGTTTGGGGAGGAACGTTCCGCCTTCTCTCCCACTCACTTCCTCATTTAGCATATTTTACCAGAATGAAACGCCTTAATGAGCACAGAACTGCAGCTGATCCCGAGACTCTAAGTGGGCCGCTCAGCCTCCCGCCCCATCAAGCTGCATTCACTGCGCTGTGATCTGGGCTCTTCAGGGATGGCCTCCCTTGAAACACTGACAGGACTTCCTGAGGGCAGAGACAGGCGCGGCGCAGCTCCCTAGCGCTGTGAACCTTGCAGGCTGAGAATGTGTGAGTGTGCGTGCGCGTGTGCATGAGCGTGCATGAGTGCGCGCGTGCACCGAGATCTTATGTAACAACTTAGGAGACAAGTCTGTTACAGAAGCCACACTGGAGGTCCCATATTCTGCATGTGACAAATGGAGCTCTACCCCAAAACCAGCCTGGCTCAGCCGCCTGGACACAGAGCGGGAGCCGAATGTGGGCATCCTGCATGGTCACTCTGGGGACTCTGGAAGGCCAGACTCTGCTGGACCAGGGCCACTGCATAGGCTGCTCCCTCTCACATGTACCCGTTCTTTCCTTCAGCCGAGCGGTGCTGACCTGGTGGCCCCCACTGTCAAGGCACCAGGGTTGCAGACACGGCTGTTGCCTTTGGGAGGCACCTTCTCGGGGGACAGGCCGTGGGTGAGTAGATAGGGATTGTGAGGTCAGAGAAGGCAGCAGGACAGCATGGCAGAGGAAGGCCAGGCTCAGGTGAGGGCTGGAAGGTCAGTTCTGAATCACCTGCCCATGGCTGTGGGGCCCCAGGACAGTTTGGCCGCTGGGGAGGAAAGGACATGGGCTGATCTCACCTCTTTGGAGACGCTTGCCAGGCAGATGCCAGCCACTCACTGTGGGCATCCCCTGTCCTAGGGCGGTGGTGCTGGGCTGCAGCTCCAGGCCCTTGAGGCCAGGTGTGGTCAAGAGACTGGGCTTTGACTAGCAGGACATGGTGGAGACAGTGCATGCCATGCCCAGTCTGTCCACCAGGGACCTTCGTGGTGGCCTCGGTGCACAGCCCTGAACAATGAGTACCAAGTGACCTCTGGGTTCCATTTGTGAGTCTGGGCCTGCTCCTTATTACACACATCTGTAGTCTGATTTGGAGCAACGATCTCTGTTAGGAGGTGACACTTCTGAGGGGGCGGAGAAGTGGGAGCGTCTGAGGACGGGTGATGCACTCGCTCTGCACTGTGGGGCTGTGAGACTCTGAGACAGAAGAGGCCGCCACTTTGGGGAAGCTGCCCAAGGCAGCTTCCAGCGCCATGAATTTTGTAGCTTTTCTTGTTCCAACACCGAAAGCCAAATTCATATTTCTTGTCCCCACGACTCAGGTTTGGAACTGCCAGCCTCATAGAGTCTCAGGCGCTGAGTCGCCAGGGCTGGGGGCACCTGCCATCTGCTGTTCTCTCCAGCCACGCTCTCCAAGGCTTCTGTGGCTCAGGGAGGGGCAGATGTCCCTGCTTTAGCTGCTCAGTTGAAAAGCCACCTTCCCGCCAGGGCGCATGGCAGGTTGCAAGCTCAGCTCTCACTGCGATGACTAGAGAAAGAAGGTGCCCACCAGTGACAGCCTGGGGCACCCACCCACTCTGCTGGTGCGGTAGGAGGCGCCTTGTTCGCCCACTCAGCCCTGCCTTCCCCATGCTTCATGGTCAGGCAGGCAGGAATCTCATGGGGGTCTCTTCTGCACAGTGCAGCAGAGGATGTCAGGGCAGCCTCAGTGGGGCCACCAGACTCTGCCCACGGGGACTGCCCTGTTTCTGGTAGCTTTTCCGAGCCTGTCTACAGATGGCAGTGGAGGAAGAAAGACCCATGTGTTGATTCTACATCACCTGCCTGAGGAACTCTGCAAGCCAGGGCAACAGAATATCACAGCAGTGCTGAGATGCCAGCCAGATGCGCAGACATACCCAGCTAACTTGTGCCCGCCAGCGCCTGTGAGGCTGATTTCAGAGACACTTCCTGGAGCTGGAGAATGACGGGATTGGTGGCTGTCAAATGATGGCATGTGAAGGTGGATTTATTGGCACCCAGCCACACCCACGGGTCCAAACACTGCCTGGGTAGCTGCAGACTCAGGCAGTGGGGTTCACAGGGGTCGCAGGGCCTGTGGAGCCAAGGGGTTTATGGACTGGCGACCCCAGCAGCAGCAAGGGTTTCCTCCCAGTGGAGATTCTGGGAAGCACAGGCAGGGCAGCACAGTGGGAACCTCTTTCCCTTCCCAGGTGTCTGACCCTCTTGAGGACACCTGGGAAAGGCTTCCTGGGGTCCTGGTGCATCTGTCTGCCACACACCAGCATGGCCTGCAGGCCAGGTAGACATTCTCAGCTCTGTTAGCTTTAATTTTGCTTGTCTTTACCACCAGTTCTTTCTAACAAACAAATCTGTGCCACTCACAGTTGGACACGAAGCCTCCATTAGAACAAACTTGTGTATATTAAAAATGAATCAGCTAAGAAAAACATCTGTAAATGTGAACACAAGAAATAGTCGGATGCAGCAAATACCCTGGGGATGGTGAGGCTGTGGGCCCAGCAGATGCGGGCCCGGGAAGCTCCCACTCAGTGGGTTTTCCACCCGTCAGCCACCCTCGTGTCCTGACCCCACCTCACAATGAAACCTTCAAGCTGGCCAGGCAACTCCAGGGCCATGGTCGGCTCCGGAAAGCCACGTGCCCCACGTGTGAGGCAGGGTGACGTCGTCTCCTTGGGTGTGTGCATGCCTGTTGCGTGCACTATTGCCACAGTTCTGCTCTACATAATCTGTCAATCCTTTCTGGTTAAGGCACTGAACCCCTTGTGCTGACACTGGGGATACAAAGAGCTGGGGGGCTTTGCACCATGCGCTGCTTTCCTGGGCTCCACCTCTGCATTCTAAGTGCACTACTCAGCCCTGCAAGGTGAAAGGGATGAGAAGCAAACTGCCTACTCCGCCCAAAGGACGAAGCTCACCGGTTCCCAACACCTGGGGATCCCTGGCTGCAGAGAGACGGGGAGACTTTTCTACAGGGAGCAGAATGCTTGCCAGCATTTTATCAAATTATTGCTTAGATTTAGTTGCAATTTTCTTAAAAAGGAGGAAGGAAATGCCAGTTGACAGTCTACATTACAAAAAACACAAATTTGTGAAATGAATATTTTCTCGGCAGGAGCAGCAGCCTGTGGTGGCTGCTGGCACTGCAGTGGTACCACTGGAACTAAGGGGACGCTGTGGCCCATAGGGCCTTGCTAACCAGTCTCAAGATGTCAGAGTTCCAGCACTGCGACCCCTAGACCACCATCAAAGACACGCCACCATTCCACATGGAAGGACATGGTGGCCAATGGACCACAGATATGCGCGGGAGGCCTGAGGCCATGGTCCATGTTACTGCTCCATCTGCTCCCATGCACACAGAGTCACCCGAAAGCAACCAGGACACAAGTCACCCTAACTGGAGAAGGCTCATCTGGAGAGCACAGCTCCTCACCACTCAGCACAACCCTTGATCCTTCCAGAAAAGGCGGGATGGGACCCCGATCTTGGATTCTACACACAGAACTGGGGAGAGACGCTGGCCCCTGAGACCATGCTTTCCACGACCATGCACTTACCCTCACCAGCTGCTGTGGGAAGGGCCCCCGGGAGTTCTCAGGCACGTTGATGGGGGGGATGACCCAGTCTCGTTTCTGTCGCCTCAGCCCTCCAGAGCTCTGGTGCTGGGGCCACGGCAGCAGTGTGTCGTTGGGGGGCTGAGCAGGGTCCGGGGCCACGTTCATTTTTCCTTTCTGCAGCATTGTTTGGTGGGGAGAGAAGAGATAGAGAAGGTAAGTTCAGAGAATCCGTGTCGGCCCTGACTGATAGAGAAGAGCTGGGTAAGCTGGGGAACGGAACCAAGGCTCAGGGAGTGCAGTCATGCAAGACCTTCATCCATGTGCAGTCACACGGTTACTGAAGAAATGGGGGACAGTGGGGTTCTCTAAGAGATCACATGGATCAGAGCTTTGTTAGTTTTGCAGTGGTGGGATTGAGTCCACGCCCTCTCCAGCACTGGACTATACTGCTGCCCATTTTTATTTTTCTATTTTGAGGCAAGGCCTCACCAATTTGTCCAGGCTGGCCTTGAAATTATGATCCTCCTGTCTCAGCCTCCCAGAATGCTGGGATTACAGGCCTGCGGCCCCACGTGCAGCTATGCTTTTTATTTATTTTATTTTCTTTTGGTCTTCAGGATTGGCATCATGCATGCTTGAGAACATGTGGGTCCCTGGGCCTCACCCTCAACGTGACAATGCCGTATTCTGGTCACACCTATTTCCCTGTCCCCCTCTGTAACCCTCCCCCTCCTGTCCCAGCAACACTTTCCTTTTCTCAAATAAGACTTAATATATTTTAGTTTAGAAGTCCTATTTATGAAAACATAAAAAGCAAATCGCAACTTTGGAAAATACGATTTACAGCAAATCTGAGAAAGTGTTAGTGGTCTGGTCATAAAGAGCTCTTCCCAGTCAATAAGAAAAAAGAATGACATCTTTTTTCATAACAGGAAATGTTACGAAAATAACATCAGCTAATTCATAACAAGATATAGTAGTCAACAAACTCATGACAACTCTTCAGATATCCCAGGAATCAAGTGTGAGCCGACTGGTCCTCAGCACAGAGGAGGAGGAGGAGCTATGGGACCCTCAGGGGAGGGGAGGGCAGAGCCTGTGGCTGGGGTGGTGAGCAGATGGAACCCCGAGGACCCTGCACATCGGGTGCCTGTGGCACAGGAAAGTCACTGGCCTTCTGGCCTCTTTTCTGAAACAGGCATGAAGGTGGATTCGGAGGCAGGCATGAAACGTGGATTCTGAGCTTTGCCACGGAGGTTACTTTAGGCCTCCACAGGAACACGCCCAGCTCTGAGTCACACTCAGGTCCTTGTGGCTCCTGCCTGCCGGGCCTGGGGTCAGCACAGTTCTGCCCACCAGCTTGCTGCTGACCACCAGGAAGCTCAGCTATGAGCCTCCCTATTGACCCATCTTCTCTATAGCTGGAAATCTGTTCCAGTGGAAGGTGGGACCGACAGAAATCTGTGTATAAAGATGTCACTGTGGGTAATTTTGTAACTCTAAAAATACCAGAAAAAAATCCGATGTTGATAGTAAACAACAGTGTTAAATTACATTGCATGCAAGCCTTGGGGCACTGTCATCACTGAAAGTTACTCTTTTAGGGTGCTGTTTGGGAAGATGCCCTTGGAACATTAGTGCGTGGAGAAATGGAACCAACGTACTGTAACATGGGCCCCGATGGGGTTTTAAAGGATCGAGACGGAATTGGAAGCAAATACATCAAGATGTAAACACTGTTTTCTCGGAGACTTTGATGCTGTTTTGTTTTACTTCATTCCTTTTACCTTTCAGTATTTTTTCAGAGTGTCCTAAGTTACAGAATGTCTCTGGCTAAGGAGGTCAATGCGTGCACACACGACGCCCCTGGCTGCGTCACCCGCTCTGACCCAGAAGCTCCAGGGCCTCGGACAGCCTTGTCCCTGTGTGCTTGTGCATTTCCTCTGAGTCTCAGGGAGTGGCAGAGTGCGTGCCTCCTCCGGGTCTGAGGTGTGCGATGCCCTGTCCTCGGGATGCCTTCTAGCCAGGCGGGGAGAGATTTCAGAGTTCCCAGGCCGGTCCTGGACCAGCAGCAGAGCCCGGGTGCTGCCTAGAAGGCTCATTCTTGGGTCCCACGGATACTAGTTCTGGGCAGGCGATGCTAGTCCTGTCTGTCACGCCCTGGGGACCGGTGCAGTGAGAGAATAGCTGCTCCACAAATGCCCAGGCACCTGGCCACCACGACGTTCAGCCTGCAGGTAATCAGGCTCAGCTGCTCCCAGGCACCTGCCCTAGAGAGGGCAGGTGACCTAGCTTTGCCCTTGAGCGTGTCTCCATGAGCAGCTGGCCAGCCCCAGTGAACAGCGGGACCCTATGAGATGCCAGGAGGAGCTGGCACAAGTGTAACCGTAGAAGGGGGTTCTTGACCCCTTGCACCCCAGCATGTGGTGAGGCAGAGCCCTGCTGGCTGCCCCCTCGGAGATGCACCTGTGCCAGCAGCCGCTCACCTGGGCCTCCGAATCGCAGGCTCAGATTTTTACAGGGTTTCACACAGCCATTTAGAAAAAGAAGACCTGCTTCATCTTCATTTGCTCAGGATAGGCTTGCATGGCATTAATTTCCCTAGTGTTGTTTAAATAAATTGCACATATTTGCTACTATTTTAAAGCTGTGAGACAAATGTAATAACAAAATCTGGTGAAAATCAATGCCAGACCTGCGCAGACTTCTGCCTGGAAGATGCACCCACTTCTCTGGGAAAAACACATTGATGATAGCGGCTCCCCAGTGCAGCAAGCACGTTCTCTGCACACACGAGAACCTGGGGTCCTTTCAGAATATGACACAGAAACACGGATGCATAATTACACTAATTATAAATGTTGCTTCCAGTTACTCCCAGAAATATTTCCTAATGGACAACACCTGCTGATTCTCTTCATTCTGTATTTATTTCTGCGTGAATAGTGACTGAGCATTGGTGAAGATTTGAATTTGACCTCTACAGTTTCTAAATATAAAACAGTGCATCTACATATCTGTGTACATGTCTGTATGCACACAGAGGTGCATGTTGATGTGTGTATGAATACATGTACATACATGTCTAGATGTGCACACGTGAGTATGCATGTATTTGTACATTATTTGTATGCACCTGTATATGTGTGTAAGTGTGTGTTCATAGGTCTGTGTGTGTGTGTGTGTGTGTGTGTGTGTGTGTGTGTGAACACACCAGTTTTCTCAAAACCAGCCAGGCCGGCTAGCCAAAGTCACCCTGGGGAAGGTCCTGTAACTTGGCTCAGGAAGCCCCAGTTGTGGTGCAGGTCTCTGAATCCTGCAGATTTGTGGAATGAAGCCTGAGGGAGTCACTGGCTCCAAGTTCCGTCTGCTTGTTGACAGCTGAGATGTGGTTAAGAGTCCCAATCAACTGTGCTCAACTATGTACGTATTCTGCAGCTCTGACTGCTGTTAGGTGCAGGAAGCTGGAGCCAGGTCCTCGCGCTGGCTGTGTGGCTGGTGGGAGCTCCCCTCACAACCAGGAGGGCAGGCAGTGCTGCTGTTGAAGTGACATACCCAAACAAACACCAGCTTTTAAAGAGAGTGTTATGGAAAAAGATCTGGTGGTCAACTTAATGCCAGCTGGATTACTCAGCATGGCGCTGAGTGAAGATGCTCCACCTGAGGAAAGTTGGCAGCATAAGTAGGTGGAGAAGGAGGTGTTAAGGCGTTAAGGTGTTAATGCGTTATTGCACTGAGGCATTGTAGGTTCTCCTACGAGTTGCTGTTTGAGCCATTGATTTTCCTGGAGAAGCTCTGGTCCTCACATCGAGCATTGCTTCCTGGCTCCAGAGGGGAAGACATGTGCCGCTTGGTCTCCAGGATGAACTCATCACGCTGGCTTCCTGGCATGTACTTGACTGTGCTTGTCGTCAGAGGAGCTGGGGGCCTCCGTGTCACTGAGGATGGTGGTGGTGCCTTTCAGGACAGCCCTGGTCTTTGTTGTGAGTGTGACTTCTTGGATCCAGTGTAGACACCTCATCCCACCAGCACAGCTTCTTCACCCTGCGGGCATAGACTTCCCAGTTTCCACCTCTGACTTGTGGGCCTTCCCAGCACGGATCCATAAAAGAGACTGGTGTGAGTCCTTCTTGTGGGCTCTGGACCTCCAGTTGGACTTGTGGGAGGCATTGTCATGAGCTCTGGGTTTTCATCTGGACTCATGTGGGACATTGCTGTGGGATTTAGACCCTTGACTAGATATTCTATGCCTTTGATGTTTCGGATAGATTTCCTGCACTTTCTTGTGTTAACCCCCGGTGACCATTATAAAAATAATATTATAAACTCCATGTCCTGATTCTAATTGTTCTCGGCACAACCACTGACTATAACAGTGAGGTTTGGTAATCAGGGCTCCTGTCACAGAACATGTGTCCCAGGCTGTTACACTGCCAGATGGGGACACTGGGAGGCAAGGACAGGGGGTCATCACATCACTGGTCCTGGTGGGTATCTCTTGGCCAGTGTTCTGGACACATCTCACATATGAGAATCCTCTCTCCTTCCAGGGACAAAGTGACACATTTCTTATGCTTAAGAACATAGCATTTACATGGCTATTTTGGGGGAAGATGTAAGAGATGAATGAATTTGAGAGGACAAAAGGAAGGAGGGGACATGATGGTCTTCCATTTTGCCCTGGAAGGTCAAGGCTCTGAATCCGACGGCCAGCTCAATGTTGAATAAAAGAGTCAGCATATTCCCCTGCACACCTGCACCCATGGCCACAGTGGGGTGTGCTCTGGGCCCCCACTGGGCCCCTCACCCTATGCCCCACCCACTCTGTTCTGCACCTCTTGTTCCCTGTGCATGGTGACAATGAGCATAATTGACTGTGACTCCCAGGGAAGGTCCCCGAGGGCTGCTTGACATCAGCAAGAAGCTGGGTCATCCCTCCCAGCACCATCCGAAAGGGAGATGAATTATGCAAAAATGACCTGGGGCAGGTTTTAAATTGTCACCTCCTTTTTTTTTTTTTAAAGGAAAAAAGAGAAAGAAGGTGTCAGGGGAAGAATATAATCATATGTACCCACAATCTTCAAGTAAAAAGTTACAGTTTATCATCTTTATCCATCATTAAGGTTCGCCTATCTGCACAGAGCCCAGCCTGGCAGTCTCCCGGCTTTTGAGTC